AGAAGTTGAAATTGATGGACAAACCGAATGACTGACACCTTGCTAAAAATAATTTGTTTATGTATTTTTAAAACGTTTCCTAATTACTATAACATTCTTATCGTATTTTATACAATTTCGGAATGGCATGCATTTAATTTTAGAAAAATTCAAATTTTTTTGTATTTTTTGTTTTTCTCTTTCATTTTTTTAATTCAAATGGAAGCTCTTCAAAGGTGATATGAGCAAAATTTACTTAATTTTCAAAATTAAAAATATTTCACGTGTGTATACCCACAATATTTATGAACAAAATCGCAATTTAATTAATAAATAATATGTATGCATGTATGTATATAAAAACGCGAAAAAATCGTGAAATTTTATCACGAATTTTTCTTTAAAACTTTAAAAATTTAATTTAAAAATGCAAAATTTTAAGGCTTAACTGAAAACAAAAATTGCCAAAAAGAAAACCAAATGATTTTTTTTTTGTTTTTTTCTACATATATGATATGCTAAAATTTTTAAAATATATGTAAATATGTAAACCATATTTGGATCACATTTAAATGCAATAAAACGAAATTTTTATTTTACTTTAAATGAGCAACAAATTTATGAAAATTTACGAAAATTGACGACATTAGAGAGTCTACTACACCACACAAAACACAACGTGCATATTCGTACATGTATATGAATAATATACCCATAATGGACTTAAACATTCTCATATACATACAAACATACTTTCGTATTCAGACAGTTCTTCTAAAAAATTAAATAAATATTTTTTTTATGTATAGGGTTTAGAAATTAAAAAATTTTTTTTTATAATGTGGGAGTCTTATGATAAATGACATATGCATCTACATATTATATGATGAGTGAGTAAGCATGCACAATATTATAATTTTTTTTTACATATATAAACTATAATAAGTAGGTATGTTAGTATACTATAAATGTAAAATTGACATTGAATCTTATTCTATGAAATTAATTTTTTCCTTATAGTTTCTTATATTTAGTTTCTTTTTTTATTCTAGCTTATATTTATTAAGTATATACAAGGTATAAAACATATTTTATATTTAAATGCTGCCACTATTCTTTTAAATTGGAAATATTTTGCAGTAATTATATACATAAATTTATTTTTGAGACGATAGGAAGCTGCAAATTAAAGTATGTATAACAAAATTAGAAAAAGAAAATTTTTTAATAAAACTACAAGGTTAAATATTTAATTATAAAAAATCTTTATATATTTAGCTTTCTTGTACTTTAAATAAAAAAATTATTAATTAAAGAGATTCCATATATCGTTATGACGATGATTACCTTTCAAGATTTATTCATGAAATTATAAAATTTTAAAAACTCATATGATTTTGCATACTTCACACATCTTGTGCCACACATATCAAAATTTCTCATTATGTCGACGTATTGATAAAATTTCATTCATGTTTTAATTATTTAAAATATGTATGTCATACAGAATAAGTGGATTTTACATCATTCATACAAACTTTAAAATACGAAATGTGAAATTGTTTTGTTACTCATAATTAAATATTTTATAAGATGGTTGGTTATTGGATCAGATCTCGCGGGGGTAGTATTAACACTCAACTTGACTAAACTTTACAGTTCACTTCCTTATTCTCATTTCCCACTAGTATATTAAAGTGCTCAAGACGTTCCGCCATTACGATTTTTATTTTGTGGTACTTACATATATAAAATTAACAAATTGCGAACATTGAAAAATGTGCTGTTCTTCATTAAATTTAAATTTCTCTTACTTAGCACCCTGTTTTTACAATTTAAAATAAAAATTAATGTATAAAAAGATCATCTGGTGCCATAAAAACAAAACCAAACAGTTATTAGGTTTCCGCCTTCAAATTAAAGGAAAAAAAACGAGCCATAAAATATCGTATTCTCAATAACATAATAGACGTTCGTATTTTATATGCGGTTAGGGTTAAAATCGAAAACAAATCCTTTGAAATTTATATTCTATTTATGTTTATATTAAATAAATTCTTTCTTAAATTATATGGTTTTTGCTATAAGGATATCTTATATATTAAGGAATAAATGAACTCCTTTTAGAATTGAGAAACGATTTTAAAAAGGAAGGCGAAAAAAAAAATTTAAGATAGAGGGAAGGCGGTATTAAAAGAATATAGAAAAAAAATATTAATTTTTCAAGAGGGTTGTCTTAAAATTAAATACATATAATTTTTAAATTATTTTATTATTTCTGTGACCTTGTAAAGGATATTCAAAATAAAATATGTAATTCTTTTTTTTAAGGAGTTTTTGTTTTTCCTATAGATAAAGAAATAAAAAAGTGTGGATTTATTGCAATATGATGATGATATAATGATAACGAGTAATAAAATAATTTTAGTCTTTAGAGGCTGTAAAGTAATAATATCGTACAATTATCTTGCGAAATCGAGATTTTAAACCAATACAAAATTTGAAATTATTAATAAGGTTGCTTGAAGCTTTTGTTTTCCCATAAATATATTAAGAAGTTTTCATACGGTTTGGAAAACCTCAACAAATTTTATTTTATTGTTGTTTTGCATATGCTGATTAGATAGGGTTGGTTACATATTTAAATTTTTCATCTTTTTCGTTTCTTTTTCCACTTAAATGTTAGGAAGAGATTGAAGTAGTTTCAGGACTTTAAAACTAACAACACAACCTGAAGGTCAAAAATGTTTCTTTTTCATCTCGCTAAGCATAGTATTAAGCTTTTTTAACGCCAAAAACTTGAATAATTTTTTAATGAAAATATTAAACCCTTCCTCGAACACAAAATTCTTATTAAATTCATATGCACATATTAATATGTACCTCTAAATTATTTAAAGCTTATCGATGATCACATCTTCTTAGCTTTCCTGCTTATCATAAACAATATTTTGAATTTGAGCACTTTGTTCGCGTATCTGCTAATCATAAAATTTGTTGGTTGTAATTCGTATAAAACAGATTTCCTATTTGAAAAAAAATTTATATTATTCAAATTTCAAAAAAATACTAATTATTACAGCATATTTTTAATTCATGAATTTAAATCAAAAATTTTTGAATAATTTGGAAATTTGTGTTTATTCAATTAAGAAGTGAATAATCATTCAAAAATTGCGTATTCACATTTTTGCGAAAAAAATTTGTTCTTTAATTAATTTACTTTGAAGATATGCACGTACATACATACATACTTATATGCATATGTAAATTTTTTACATATATTGCTATATTACAAAGTATTACATTGAACTCTAATTTAGCAGACAGTTTTGTTGTGAGAGTTCTGAGAAAAAAAGAACAAGAAAAATATTTTGGTAAATTTTTTCCCACTGCGGATTTATGATAGACAATTTTTTATATTGTTAAAACACGATGAATTTATGATTAAAATTGCTGTGTCAACATCAACTTTAAGTAGACTAATTAAATAATAAGGTCTTGGCTTAATTCCAAAATTCAATTTTTTTTCTTCGCCTTTTTTCTATGGATGTCGCTGTAGTATCTCTATTTTTGTAACGAGACATTTGACTTGTTGCGTTTTAAATAAATTTCTCTTTTACAATTTTACGTTTAACACACTAACACATTCATAAATATTTTTATTGTAGATTTACATACTTCATTGTAACATGCATTCTTGCATTTATAAAATAATATCTATGTATATACAAATATCAAAAAGAGCTGTCGTACGTTGCTATGATTTTACAGTAAAAGTTGATTCAATAGTCGGTTCTCGCTTTTAAGTTGAGCTATTTCAAGTGGAATTAATTTTTCTCTTGATGATTCATTGGTTCACAAATTAAACAATTTATTTTCAAATTTTTCTAAAACTTCTATGAAAAATAATTTTTTTGGTTTCATACCGATTCGTTTTTCAACTATACCTAGAATAGACCCGACGGTAGTACTATTTGAGCTACATGTTGATGTGTGTGTATTAAAAAATTATTGGAGACACATGGTCCAACAATATGCAAAGTATGCGAATAACATTAATGATCCTTTTTTTAGTAATTGAGACGTCATCTGGATAATATTTTATGTGGCATTAGTAGGAGTTTTTTGTCAAATTTCTGTCTGATGACGTCACATTTTTAATTTTAAACATGCTATGTACATTATTTGATCATGCAAGCTTTTTTAAGTTACTTTTTTGTTTATTTTAAAAAATAAAGAGCGTATGTGTGCATGTACATAATATCTATATCTATTATCTGACCAATGGTACTGGGTACTAGAGTCAAGTGGAAAGATCTTAATGCTCCCAAGTTGGTAAGCATAAAAAAGTTTAATATCTATGCTGGGATCAAGAATAATTATTTGAGAATATATTTTATAGAAAAAAGGCAGGCATATCTTATCGAGTACTCATCTTATCCTTATAGTTTCTCAACTTACATTTGAAAATATTTTTAGCCAAAACCTAAAGATTGATGTCATAATGTCAGCGCACTACAGGTCAATCTTTCATTGTATATTCAATTATATGAATAATTTATCATATCTTTTTATATAACTTTAAATATAGTACATACATAGTATGTATGTATGCAGTTATCCAATTTTGATGAAACTGATAGCTAAATAATAGTATAGAATTTAACTGATGAATTATAACATAGAACGTAGACAGGGCGGTAAATGTATACCAACTTAATCTTTTTGATGCACATGGATCACTAATATATCTTTTGCGAAATTATTTACTAACCTTGGGATAAGTAAATACATTTATACAAATTTACATACAAAAGTTTAAACATTCAGTTGTTTCAATAGGCCCTGAAAATTTTGCATGGAATTTAACAAAGTAAATGGTAGTTATGTATCCACCTTGGGTAGGTGTAACTATTAACACAGGTATGTGTTTCACATGTAATTAAAGTGAAATATAATTTAAATAACAGAAACATGTATGTATTCCAAAAATTGCTCTAATTAATGACCCATTAATGTCCTATTAAACACATTAGCCACAAAATTTATCAAAAACTTTATTTTCAAAACTGATTATTTTAATACTTTAAGCAAATGCAAAAATTATGCTGTTTTGGCTATACCCCAAACTTTTCCATAGCGTTCTGGTTGATCAAGACTGTCCACTATAAATTTAGCAAGATTGACCTTTGGAACTATACGACCTGGTGATTTGTTTTCAGTAATTTCAACTTCCGTATAGGGTTCATCAGATATATGAGGAGGTAATATGGCCACAAAGTCTAAACCAGAGTGTTTAGTAATTTCAAGCATTTTCTTATGCTCGTTATTAATGTGTTCAAATTGTTTTGGAACTTTGCTTTCCTCCCAAAATAGAAACGAAGACATTATTACTGAAAATTTCTTTAGGTTTAATGTTTTCATTGCTTCAACAACATTTTGAGTTCCAGTTGACATTTCCGTAGTTGGCTCCAAATTATTTCGGGTTCCTAAAATAACACATACTCCATCAACATCATTAAGCAAATTCTTAACGTTATCCAATTTTGTGGCATCCCCTTCCACAAGTTCTATTTCTTGTTTTGTTTTAAATGCCTCTGGCACAGTACTTATGTTCCTGTACATTAAACGAACTTTAAGCCCTAAAACAAAATATGAAGTGCTTATAATTATTTCTATAGGAGTTAAATTAAAATTTTATAGTGAGTTAGTTTCAACCTTTTTTAACGGCATAGTCCACAACACATTGACCGGTCATACCTAACATAAATCAAAGAACCTATTAATATTTTTATTAAAATCAATTTACAAATTACTTACCGGTTCCTCCAATTACAGCAATTTTATTCATTTTTCGTTATTCCAGATTATTGAATTTAAGTTAGACAAAACTTCTAAATTACAAAAAACAGGCTTTCTTCTTCCCTTATGTATTTCTAAATTCTGACTGATTGAATTTAGTACTAAATAAGTCATAATCAAACAATTCAGTTAAAAGTATATACATACATATGTAGATATGTACATATATAACTACATGTCAAAATATTGATTTAAATGTTGCAGTGTCATTTACGATAAAAATAAGATTTGGTAATTTTTTGAAATTAGAAATCAGATGGAAAGGTATGATGGCGTAGTATTCTATACATATTGGAAAACAATTTGTGTAATTTTTTAATTAACTGTTTATTTTACCTAATTAATTTTATTCTTATTTTAAGTTTTTATCTAAAATGAACTAAATAATTTGAAATTTAAATAACGAGTTTTCTAGGTTCAAGACATTTTTGTTTAAGCAAGTCGACATTCTTCTTCTCTAAATCGTCAATTTTTCCAATCAATTTTAGATAATTAGGCCGTGTTGAACAACTTTTCTTGACGCAGCGTGTTTTAAACATTTCCGTAAGTTTACTACTGATATTTTTTCTACACAAATTTGTTAGAAGATCATATGGTTGTAGGTACTTCGAATTATTAAATTCTGCTTTTAATTTGGGTAAGCAAACCTTTTTCTGTTGCAAATCGGAAGTATTACATAGTTGTTCCGTAATTTTCTTCGCATTTATATGGATTTTGCTATCTCTTATAAGCTTTTTTTTCCTAATTATTACAAGAACATCGCTGCATATTCCTGCTGTTGGGTTTCGTACGTAATCGGGTAAATCTATATCTTCGATTGGTACAACTCTTGGTGTTGGGGGTTGATTCTTTTTTGTATTTTGAAAAATTTGTTTTCGTGAATATGTTCTAAGCGGTGTAATACATTTCCGCCATTTAGTTATACTTCTTTTGGGTGATTTTCGATATTGTTTTTTACATATTTTTGATTTTTTACTAGGTGGAGTTGAAAAATCTGTTTCGGAATATGCTATAGGATTAATATTTTCTTTAAAAGCGGGATTTGGGAAATCATTTTGTATACTACATTCATTTTGTATGCTTTGTCTATTTAAAATTAATTTTCCAACCTTTTTCGGACTATCTTTCGTTGGGTTTCTGAATAATTCCACAACCTTAAATTTATTGATTGGAGATATGGAACTTACTTTTGATTTTAAATAATTTTGTTGAACTTTTATTGGTGTTAAAACATTGATTTCTTTGCATCTTCGGACAATATCGGGTGGTGATAAAGCGGAACCTCTATTTTGATCTAGTGTTTCAACCAGATCTAGTGAACTGGTTTTACTAAGTGATTTTACCTAAAAACACAAATAAACTTATTATATTTTCACTCTTGAAAATACAGCGAAAACAAACATTTGAAATGGATGTTTGATTAATATTTTCACATGCACATCTTCTGTTTTCTATAAAATTTAAAAGTGTGATACGATTTTTCCGAATAACTGGCACAAATAATTCTGGGTCAAATCCTTTTGATTCCACTATTATCACATTTCCAGATAAAATCTTTGCTTTGAATTCTGCTTTCATTTTTGATAAAAAAAAGAAACTTTAACTTGTTTATAAAATTTGAAAACCTTTACTTTTCCGTTTGTTCCTTGATTTGAATTTAAACAAAATGTTGCAATACAATATGCAAGTATGTCCATCCAACTAACAATATGTCAAAATTAGGGAGTGTTGTCATAGTTTAGTTAATTTTTCACCAGGTTTGTGATAGCTATTTGTCTCAAGAAGTTTAGTCATTATTTCAGCCTTTCATTAAAAACTGAATATTTTTTAAACTGATTGTAATGAAATCAATCAACAATTTTGTGATGTACATATGCATGCTTCACAAATTAAGATTGCATATTAATTTCAATATTACATACAATTGGCGATATGTCAAAATATATTTTTATTTTTCGTTAGAATATAATATTTTACTATTTGTTTATAGTTACTCAAAAATTTGATAAGAGCTCTTGGCTATAAGGATTATAGTCGCAAGCTATTATCAAATATAAAAAAAAACTTTTGCTAAATTTTTTAGCTATATATTAATCTTTAGATTGTATAAATATGTTGAGAACCAGTGATCTGGCAACCAAATATATTTTCTTTAAGTGTGTTTTTTATTACAAATTATGAAGGTGTCAAATTAATGTGAAAATGTTTATTGACTGTGTTCAAATTAATATACAAATGTTTATATCTGTGGTTTTTGCATTACATTTCTTTTGCATTAAAATGAACCTCTGATAGGCTAAATATTTGGCAGCTACCGTGGTGTTCATTCTGTAGTTATTGAAAACCTTTATTGCTCAAGATTAAACGTAAAGAGCACTTTACTTATTTATTTAGTTTCTGTCAAAAATTTCTAGTTTGTGTAAACGGTATTTTTTATAATATTGTAAATGTAATTTGACGTTTTATAGTTTTAAATATCGATTATAATATGAATCGAAATTTTTAAATATAAATGTCAAAATAATATGACAGTTAAGAAAAAAACGTGATATATCTATTATATTTATTTTGTAAATATTTTTTATTCAAAGTTTGTCGAGGTTTAAAATTAATTCATTGCTGATTAAGTTCTTTAGTCAATATAATAATGTCTAGCTTTAAAAAGAGAGTAAATTGTAAATCAATTAATGGCACAAAAACAAGTTCACTTAATGGATTAGCGATAACATCAACTGGAAATCCATCTTTGGATCATGTAATAGGTGGAGGACTTCCAGTAGGCTCTGTATTATTAATTGGTATCATTACTACTTTTGCAAAGGTTTTTTGAAAATACAAGTTAAATTTTAGAGGAAGATCGGTTTTCAACGTACTCAAAAGTAATGGGGAAATACTTTCTAGCCGAGGGAATATATTCAGAGCAACCAATATTTTATGCAACCTTAGATGACAATCCCTCCGATTTATTGAAAAAATTGCCTAAACCTGTAGTTAATGCCCATTATTTAGAAGATAAGCAAAAACCTAACCTGAATCCTATACAAATTGAAGAAGATGAAATGAGAATAGCTTGGCGTTATAATGAATTACCAAAAATAAATTCTGAACAATCACCCGATTTTGTTAATATTGGACATCATTTTAATTTAACAGAACAAATTGATAGTGATATTTTAGATAAAGCAGTTAAATATGTTTGGAATGGGTTAAATATGGATATTACAAATAACACATTTTGTAATTCACGATATAACGATTTATTAAAGAAAATATCGGAAGTTTTGAATTTAAAAAAATTTTCTATTGAAGATAATAACCAAGAAAAAAGTTTACTCAGACTATGTATTACATCTTTAGGTTCACCATTGTGGTACAATAATAATTTTAAAGAGGATTTTTTAAAGTTTCTTACGATTTTAAGAATTATGATAAAAAATACATGTGCGGTGTGTTTTCTTAGCATACCGCTTAACTTGTTAAAAATACTAGTAAGTTAAAATTGAATTACGTTAAATTTGAATTGATTAATATAATATTATTGTTAGGATGAAACTTTACCGCCCCAAATTCGAAATTTAGTTGATTATTCTTTTGAACTTGAATCGTTTGCTGGTTCTGATAAAGAGACTAATCCAGCTTTCAAGGAGTATAATGGAATATTTCATATAAGAAAATTGAATGCCGTTAATTCTTTAGCAGCTATTAATCCAGAAACAACAGATTTAGCGTTCAAACTGAGAAGAAAAAAATTTGCCATTGAAAAACTTCATCTTCCTCCAGGTAATAATTACTTTAAAATATTAACTAAGCTTATATTTATGATCACCGCAAAGCTTAACTTTGGTGTTGATTTTAAAAAAGTTTCAATTTTTTTTTTCGATTATGCTTTATTACATCAAATAACGATGTAATGTTTATTAAATATTTATGAAATTGAAATATTTTTCAGAGCTTCAAGAACCAACTGATTCACAACAACCATCAACTGATATAATGCCAACTCTAAGTTGTGCCAGCAGTGGAGGTGGAAGTGTGAAAAAAAATTTTTTAGATTTTTAAAACACACTATAAATTTTAATACATAAAATGCGTAAAAGTTTGTCGCTAAAATCAACCAACCTTGGAAAATGTTCTATATTTTATAAAACAAAATAGAAAAACGAATACATTGTACATACTTACATATTTGTTGGGCTAATTAAATTTTTTTTATATATGCATACATTTAATTTGCTCTTTTGTTGTTTAAACAAGTAAAAATATTCTAAATCTGTTTTTGTATGAAATTAAAACAAAGCTTTACATTTTGCAAAACCTTATACATTGGTGCAATATAAAATGTTCAAAACTTGGAACGGACAAATACATTAGTGATTAATTTTTATTATTTTTTTTCTTTCAGATGAAGTGATGTGTTATGTTCATAGTTGTTTATATAAAACTTTGCATTTTGCTTTAGTCAAATGAATTTAGTTTTAACATCACAGTTTTCTATTAAGACTGAAATTGTGTTAAAAGAAATGAAATTTAGGCTAAGTCTTTGCGCTTTATTTATTTTTGAAAAAAAGTTCTCATCGCTTTAAATGTTTTGTCTAGAAACGGCGAGTGACCACAATAAAAAATTAAATGCCATGGAAATGATTATAAATTTGTAAAATCTTGCATTCAAAGAATGTTCTTTGAAAGAAAATTTATTTGAGTACATGTGCATATATTGTGTATGTTACCAATAGAAATGTAAATATATGTATATACACAAAAATATATTTATAACAACATTCCCCTTACATAACATTAAACAAGAAACAAAAAAAAAAAAAACGCGAACACAATTTGTTCGTTTTGTCACACTTGGACGAATCTATTTTCTTCTTCTCACAAGCAAATGAAGAATGGTGACAACATAAAAACAAAGCGAGGAATCAATTTTTTTATTCTTTAAATATTTTTTGTGTAATAATATTTCAATAATATTGAAGCAATGTGAATATTTTTTATTTAAAGTATTGTCCTTATGATTTCTTTTCAGATAATTTAATTTGCAGATTTTTTTTCAAAATCATTTGGAAGGAGTTCAAATACATTAAATGGAGTATTTCAAACACAGCTAATTTTTTTTGTAATTATACTTTTACTTTTTTAAATTAATTTTCATTTTCGTTGGAATTATTCCATTAGGTTATAAAGTTTGTAGTTTTTATTTAATTATTCTCTTTTAAAAACATAATTTTCTTTATGCTAGAGTTCAAAAATATTAATAATGCAAAAAGAATAACAAAAGTTTTTATACCCTGCACTTCGTGAAGGGTATATTAACTTTGGTATGGAGTTTGTAACTACTTGAAGGAGTCATCTGCGGTATGGACATATATATATATTCTTGCTCAGCGTAAAATTCTGCGTCGATTTAGACATGTCCGTCTGTCCGTCCGTCCGTCCGTCCGTCCGTCCGTCCGTCCGTCCGTCCGTTCGCACGATAACTCAAAAACGAATAATGCAATCGACACCAAACTTTCACAAGTTTTTTCTTTTGTGCCAAGGACGAGCCCTATTGTTATTGGACTAATTCGGACAACGGGTTCGGGTAGCTGCCATACAACTTAAAGAGTTTATTTTAAATATTTCAAAAACTAATAAAGCTATAAATATAAAACTTTGTATACATGTGTCCAATTATATTCTACACATGCTCTAAAAATTATAATGGGATAGCTGCACCGGTTCGGGTGGCTGCCATACAACTCCAACAGCAAATTTTTTATATTCGGCAAAATAATAAAGTCAGATTCATGAAACTTGGCAGTCATGTGTCCAATTATAGGTCAAATATACTTCTGAAGTTTTAGAGGAATTGCTTTACAGGTTCGGGTACCTGCCATACAACTCCAGAAGCTAATTTTAAATATTTGGAAAAATAATAAAGTCAGATTCATGAAACTTGGCAGTTGGATGTCCGATTATAGATCAGATATATTTGTGAAGTTTTAGAGGAATTGCTTGACAGGTTCGGGTACTTGCCATACAACTCCAGAAGCTAATTTTAAATATTTGGAAAAATAATAAAGTCAGATTGATGAAACTTGGCAGTTGTGTGTCCAATTATAGGTCAGACATATTTCTAAAGTTTTAATGGGATTGCTTGACAGGTTCGAGTAGCTCCCATACAAGTCTTAAAGCTTATTCTTAATATTTGGAAAAATAATAAAGTCAGATCCATGAAACTTGGCAGTTGTGTGTCCGATTATAGATCATATATATTTGTGAAGTTTTAGTGGAATTGCTTGACAGATTCGGGGACTTGCCAAACAACTCCAAAAGCATATTTTAAATATTTGGAAAAATAATAAAGTCAGATTCATGATACTTGGCAGTTGTGTGTCCGATTGTAGATCAGATATATTTGTGAAGTTTTGATGGAATTGTTTGACAGGTTCAGGTACTTGCCATACAACTCCAAAAGCTAATTTTAAATATTTGGAAAAATTATAAAGTCAGATTCATGAAACTTGGCAGTCGGATGTCCAATTATAGGTCAGACATATCCGTGAAGTTTCTACAGAATGACTTCACAGGTTCGAGTAATTGCTACACAATAACGAAAGGTGCAGGGTATTATTCAATCGGTTTATACCGACTGAAACGTTTTTACTTGTTTATATTGTTTTTCCTATAGTTTAAAAAGTATCACAAACATAAAGAAAAACAAGACTAAGGAAATAAATGTATATTTTTTGCTTGTACATTTTCCCATTACAAGCAGCTTTTAATTATTGTAAACGTTACAATAAATTTACACTTTATTATACAATTTTATTTTTTCAACTGTGATTTGAAAAACTTATGACATATTTTATTTAATTTTAATTTTTTTTTTAATAATAAATTTTAGAAAATTATTACATATTATGTAAATGGTTTAAAATATTGTATTTCGGGAAGAAATCGAAAATAATCCAATTCTTAGAATAGTTTGAAAATTGATTTGCAAATTAATAGTTATAGAAAAAAAATTATATTTATTACATGATAAATATCATTTAAAATAAGATTAAGTTGATAGTTTATTTCGAAATGTAAATTGGGTTAATTAATTGTTTCCTTTATATTACAATGTATTTTCCTATCCAACAACAAAGGCTTTCATTCCAATTATTGACATTATCATTGCTATTTTAATTCAAATATTTCTAAAAATAAAAGTGTTTTGAAATTTCAAATGGAATTATGTAGGTTCTATAATTTCCAATTAAACCATTTAAATATTAAACCTGTGAATATTGTATTTAAATTCTAGTATATTAGTAATTTTAATATGAATTGTAAATTTAAATAACAAAATAATTAAACTAAAATTAAATGAAACATTCAGAAAATATTCAACGTAGGCAATACTAATAAAATGAATTCTTAGATTTCTGAATTATTAAGTACTAATTAATTTGTTAAATAATTGTGGCTAAAGTAAAAAGCTGATTTTGTTTTTTTGTTTTCAGTATTTTGGAAGTTTAAATCGTCTCTAATATAAAGAAAGCATATTTAAATTGGATTTAATTTTTAAAATTTATTACAAGCAATAATTATTAATGTTCCAATAATTTTTTTTTAATTACATTGATTTTAAATTCAATATTTTTATAGGTTAATATTAATAATTTATGAATAAAAAAACACTTTTATTTTTACTTTGACTCTTCTCTTATTTCATCTAATTCAATATAAATTTCTATAAAATTTTTTTAATTACTCTACATTTCTATTTATTGCAATTAATATTCTTCATGCGATTTCTAAAATAATTTCATTAATTCAGTAATGAAAAATTATTATTTTTTATTTTCTTTATTTAATAAATTAAAATAAATTTCTCTTAATAGCAATAGTGCATCTAAATATAATTTAATTTTTTTTTTTTAATTTAAATGCACATATTTAAAAAAAAAATATTTTTCAATGGTCATCTCATTGTTCATTATTTACAAATATGGGCAAATTTAATTATTCTTTTTTCAATTTTTTTTTATGGCGTGCGATATTATATTAAAAGTTTTTAAAATTTATCTAAAAAATCAATCATAAATTTTTGTTAGAATTTAAATTCAATTTTGTTTTTTTATACTCGCACGCATCAAACACGCGCATTAATTTCTTTTTTCATTTTTATATTTTTCAGCTCTTAATTTTTTCATTTTTAGAATCAAACACAATTAACGCCTGCAATATTGTATTGAAAACATAAAATTTTCGAGCTCTTTTTGAATAACAAACAATATTAATGAAAATATGTATGTATGTACATATAGAATATAATAGAAATTATGTATGTCCATAATTTAAAAAAAAAAATAATAAAATAAAATCGTTCCGCTATCATAATTTTTATATTTCTATATAATTATTGTGTGTGTGTGTTTTTATTTTATTTATAATAAAAAAAAAAATATTAACACCGACACAACTGTTTATAGTTATTTCTATAACTACTATATTGTGATCTGCAATACAAAACCAAGCAGGTATTTACTACATTATAGCCAGAGTAACCATTTACCATTGATTTAATTTTTCTCTGGATTTCATTTTTTTTTTTTTTTTTGGGGGTTCAAACTCAATTAAATGTGTTGGTTTGAATTAATTTTTAATTTTAAGAATTTTAGTTTAAATTTAGAGTTTCAGTTGGTTAAACGTATCTACGGGCAAACAATAAACTAAAAAGCGTGAATTGTTTCAACAAAAAGCAAAAATATAATAAAAATAAATAAAAAAAAACAAAAAAAATCTATTGCGTATAGTAACGGTAACAATGTGCGGTTAGTTTTTACATCTATCACTCAAATACATATATATGTGTGTATTTAAATTAAATATGTGTGCGCTCTTATAAATTTACGATTTGTTGAATAATTTTATTGTGATTTTTAAATAACTATTTATTTACATTTTTGTCCCCTTCAATAATAAGAATTAAGGGTTATATTTGTGTATATGGTAAACAATATTAAATTTGTATATGTTTTGTAAATTTTTTGTTATTAACATGAATGCAATTTTTTTCTTTATATTGTTAACATTAACATTTATATGTGTTTGTGAACATTAAAATGAATCAATTATGTTCAAAATATGTTAGTAAAGAAGCATAGTTTTTGTTGACAATTATATTGCATTGTATGTGAGCTGGGTATATGTAAATTTTGAATTAAAAATAAAACAATTTAAAATTTGAAAAAAGAAAAACGAAATTAAAATAAAAATTTTTTTAGTTTTCACGGTTAGTGAAACAAGCTACTACTATCTTTTATAATAAAAATATAACATTTAATACTACTTTACTCAATACGTAATATTAATAAAGTAATAAAACAAAAACGAAAAAAAAAAAACAAAATTATAACATCTATATAATTGTGCTAAAAAAAAATTTTGTAATTATGCGACTTGGAAGATTATTGAATCATAAATTTTTATTAAATTGTTGTAATGTTGTATTTCTGGTAAGATATTTTTTAATATTTTCTTTAATATTTAATTAAATAAAATTGAAGGATTAAAATTGTTAATTTTACATACAAACATATACCTAACTTAATTATGTTGAAATAGGAATTATCATAAGAACTTTTAGAAATTTTAGGAATTCTCTTCTTAAATTCTGAATTTTAATTGTAAAATCATTGATTAACATACTATTTAATATTATGTTTGTTAATCGTACTAGATTAAATATTAATTATATGCAAATATATCAGGATTAAATGTTAAACAATTATTAGTGGGTAAATTACATTATAAATGGTACAAGATTGAAAGTTGTTTAAATTTGAACAGGCTCACTTTTAGTTTATCATAAATTTATAAAATTTTTCCATATATTTTGTTATTTTTATGATGTGAGTTTGAGCTTAACTTCCAGCTTCAATTTTATTAATTTGTATTTTGTGTTACAAAATTTTTTTTTCCAAAAATTTTGAAGTTTTACATTTTTGGTTTGAATAACAATAGGGATTTTTTGTGCATAATGATTATAACTAAATTAAATTTAATTAACATTGGTGAAATTGTTTTGAGTCTGTAATTTTTAAATTTTAAAGAAAGACACAGAAAATTTTGCAAATTTTTTTTTGAATCGGTAAATTTTGTCGTTTACTCATTCGAAAGGATCAACTAATTTTAAGAACCTTATACAATTTTTTGGATTAATAGTGGTATTTAGACATTTAATATTATTTTATGAAGTATTACTTATATCAATTCTTGGGCCTTAGCGGTATTATCTATACCGCTAAGGCCCAAGAATTTATAACCAATAATTGATTAAAAGATATTCAAAATTTAATATTAAGAAACTCGAGATTATTCTTTTAATAAATTTAATATTGTTTTTAATGGAATTTGGTTAGATTAAATAGCATAAGGTTGCTGATTGATATTTTCAAATACTTGAGTTTTACATAATGAGAAAATTGCTGCTCAATAAGAAAGAATATTTTTAAATATTATTTATTAATAAGCAGTAATTTTTACTATTTGTCTTTAAGCATTGTTAATTTTTGTAACTAATTAAATATTTTAATAGTAATATAATAATAATTTGTGGTGTAGAACAATAATTACAAGAATTGTAAAAAATTATTGCTAAATTTTTTTTCTAATAAAATATCGGGTCAGTCAAAAGTTTTTCAAAAAAATTTTTACAAATAAATTAAAAAAAAAAAAACAATTTTTTTCTATTGTATTTATTCAACACAAAATTGTTTTGTGCGTTATTTTTTAATTATTGTTATTTATTTTAATTTTCGTGCAATTCAAAATTTTGCGATTTTTTAATTGAATTTTGAGATTTTTGTATTTTAAAATTTGGTCTTCATTTGCATAATGTAAATTTTGTGTTATTTTATTTTTAATTTAAAGAATTTTTTATTTATTTAACTTTCTATATTACCTACATACATATATGCATATGTATAATACGAATGTATGTATTTATGTATAGTTGATTTCGGTGAAAATTAAATTATTTTGAAAAAAAAAAAAATTGAGTAAAATATTTTTGATTTAAAATAAAAATTTTAAATAAAGGTAACCATCATTCATGTATTCTAATTCGGAAGTAGCACGAGAGAGCGCAGCTGCTTACAATTTTATGTACAGATTTATAGTATACAATAGAAATCGTGTCGTCTCACCCTCTACATGTTTTCACGTCTAAATCAATTTTATTATATGATTGCGTGTTCAAAATTTTCATTTGTTTACATGGCAACCAAATTACGTTAAGAAGGATAACGGAAATTTTTAGAATTTCATATTTCCTATTGTTTAGGCATTGATCAAAACAAGATTTTTTTATTAAAATAAGAACTTTGAAAACTTATTTAGTTTAAATGTCTAAATGAGTACAACTATGTGAGTTTTCACTCTCTTTTATAAACATTAGAAAAGCATAGAGTGTATTGGGTATAAGTAAAGAATGTAATTTTTCTCAGCTTTTTCTTAGCCACACTAAAATATTTCTGATACAGGTTGGCAGACTATTGGCAGACCCTATGTATTTTTTTATCTATTAATTTTTTTTTTATTTTCATCCTTTAATTTATTTATACGTATGTATTTATTTTTTAAGTTTTGTGCCGGTCGTTTAACAGTTATACAATTTTTTTTTTTCTATAAATATTTTGATGGTGATGAACCAAGCGTTTTATTTGAGTAAACATAAGAAGCATTAAAAAATAAATACTTTTTGAATATATTTAAAATAATAATATGAAAAAACTTTTAATTTCTTTGACAATTTAAATGAGGGAGAATCTAAAGATAAAATAGAAAATGCGATTCTTACTTGTCAAATTTTTAATTTTTATTTTCATATGGATTTATGGTTCGTTGATTTTTTGAAAAATTCGTAAGCTTTATAATTTTATTTATTTGCTGTGCCTATGTGTATAAGTAGCGTATGTATAAGAAAAATATTCTTTTTACTATAGTTATTTTTTATTTTACTGATGTCAGAATGCGTAATTTTCAGTGACTGAAGTTTAATTTCCTGTGCAGGTTTCTTATAATTTGTTTGTAGTGTATTGTGTCGAGAAATTGTTATGATATATATATAGATACATGTAGTACGTAAAATAGATAATTTTTTTAATATGTGTGCAGGTGTACATAGAATATGTATAAATGTATGTTCATATTACAAAATTTCTTACTTTCCACAATGCCAAGATCACCTGTATAAGGTTAAATTTTTTTCGTGTTTTTTTTTTAGGAGTGTGCTATAATTCCCACCATTTACATAATTTACTGTAAAATCATACATATGTAAATAATTTTATGTAAATGCAAATTTGATTTATTAATAAAGGTTATTTTTATTTTATTTAAAATTTTTATTTGAATTTCTTAAAAGAGATTAAAGTCAATGGACGCTTGCATTCTATTTAAAGTTAAATGTAATATTCTATATACTATTCTGGAATATAGTTTCATACAAAGCTGTGTTATTGGTGTGGGAATTTAAACTAAGAAAAGAAAAGCAAGTTTAGTAAAATGCATATTTTGTGTTCAAATGTACTTATTTTCGATAAACGTCTTTTGCAAACCATTTTCCAAAATTCATGAATTCAAATACATTTTCACACTAGGGTCATGAATTCCAGTTTTTATTGCAATTTTCATTGCAAGCGCAAATTATTGTCAACTGTATTCAATTATTGTGTGCTACTGCATTCTGTAAGAAAAATTTTTGTAAGAAAAGTGAGATTTTTAAATAAATGACTTCTATGACTGATTGATGTTTTTGACATGATGGTCAGATTGATGACGTTCTGGGAGAGTACTAATATATACACATATGTATATAGGAAAAAATATTGTTCAACTGTTCAACTTACTTATATATAATAATCTTCTCAATTACTCTTTGTGCAATACTTAAGAACGTCAAATTTCAATTGTTCAAAATCAAAAATATTTAATTAGAATTGTAGCTTTGCGAAAAATAGCGATAAATTGGAATTTTCAAAACTCTTTAAAATTAAAGCTTATATGATGGTAGTTTCTAAAATTTAAAGTTATTTTCAAATCGATTACACATTTTTACTTATAATTTTATTTAATTTATATATTTTTCGAAAATCAAATATGTATTTTACACTAAAATTATTTTTCTCTTTAGTAAATAATTATTTTCGTAAACATTAATTTAAATTCTTTGTTTTATATTAAAATTGTTTGTTTTTTTTCTTTCGTCTTTTGAACAAATACAAAATAATATTTTAATGCTCTATATTATATTTATTTATTCATAACATTGTCTCCACTTCAGATCTGAACAACCTATATATTTTATATGGTAGTAAAATAAACGTTACTTGTAGAATGGGCTTGTAGAGAGAAAGGGTCCAAAACATTAAAATATTCGTTGCATGTGTCTTATTGCACATAATTTATTAAAAATTAAAATTAAGTAATTCATCATTTGAAAATCACTTTGACATCACTCATACCTCCAAGTTTTAGGTTGTAATTGAGATTATTTAGTTAACTTGTATTGTTTAATAGAATTTCAAATTCAATTTCTCTTTTTGAAGGTTTCAATTCCCTGATTTTGTTCATGTAAATATAATGTAATAGTTAATATGTTGTTATGTTGTTACTTTTAATATGCTTAAAATATTATGCAAATATTGTACTTAATATAAGTGAGTGCAAATATTTTGAAAAGAAAAAAAAAACAAAAATTTTTAATAAAAGTGAATATTTTTTTTTTATAAGTTCATAACTCGTTTAATGATGGTGTTTAAATTTAGGATTATGAAACGAATGATGTTAAGGTTAAAGGTTTTTAGTTTAAAAGTTTTTTGTTTTAATTTTATAATATGTAAAGTATCCGTACCCTTTTCGAGTTAATTTGGGTTTGTTTTCATTTCATTTGTAAATTTTTAGATAAAAACAAATTTTTAAGTGGACCATCTTTAGAAGATTGTTTGTTAATTACTAATGGTTTTAATCGCTAATCATTTATTTATACTGCTTAACACGTTCCCTGTCTCACAATATAAGGTTCAGGAAACGTGCGCTTTATAAGCACTGATACGTTCCTGAGCCATATGTGCGTCAGGGGGTATATATGAAATTTCTAAAGCAAATTATTCGATTGGACGTAACGGAACTGTATAGTTTCTGCATTGGACGTGCTATCCTATGACTACAAAAAAACAAATTATTCAAAAAATCCTGTTGAACTTGTCGGTCAATTTTGCATTTTTGTATTGGGACAGGGAACGTGTTAACAACAACTTATATATGATATGATGTTTTTATTTAGTAGATATACGAGTACTAACGGTATATTACACGAAATGCTTAAATTCGATAAATTTGTAAAATTATTTATCTACTTTATTAATTAATACAATTACTGTTCGAAATGATAATGAAGAATTATTTGTTATAGTTTCAGGAAATTCCTATCAAAAATTCCTAAAAGCAATGACCATCATACTGATCGCTTTTCAAATCAAATACACATATAAATACATAATAACACGTACAAATAATTATTTTAAGATTTCATCTTATTGTTTATAATTAAACGCTCAAGTTCAAACGCATAATAAATATAATAATGGAATATGTGCAAGCTTTTGAAAAAATAGTTAAAGTTTAAAGAGAAAAAACAAAACTTGCTCCTAACTAAAGGTTAGTAAAAAAGCAACTTAAACATTTAAGGGTGACTGAAAACATTTTTTTTTAAACGATATTTATTTTACGTTATTAAGGTTTAATTCCATATATTTCTTAATTATTCTGACGGTATGTAATTACATGATACAAGAAAACGCTTACCGGTACTTACAGGCTTATTATGTTTGGCGAATCCGACAAAAACTCTGGTGAAAAAAAAAAATATAATGTGACAAATATTAGAAATTGTCAAAGAGTTTTATTGTGAAAGTTTATTTAAAAGTACTGCGAACAATGCTGCCATTACGTAAAAAAATTGGAGAGTAAATCCGTTCACCTTATATAATACCAAATGTTAGCGAATTCGACCTCTCAAGAAATGCATTATAAGTCTGCGCACATTTTGCTCTCTATAGAAGGAGTATACAAGATTAATTTATGTTTCATTAGAAATTATGTTATTAGACGCACAACGGACCGACAACATAAAATCAATAAGCAGATTTTGTTTTTCAATTTTCTTGGAAATATGCTAAAGAAGAGTTCAGGCCCCTTGTGGTTTATCTTTTGGCAAAGGGAAGGAATAAAAAAACACACAAATGGAATGTGTATAAATAAGAAAGATATGATTATAACAGTTATAACATAGTGGTGTATAACGCAAACATGATGACTCAAAATCCTCGATTTTAATTTTTTTTTTTGTTTATAAATTATGAAATTTATCAATTTTTTTTTTGAACAAGTACCATGAGTTATGATGTGACCTTAAGGAAATTGAACCGTAAATTATTGTTTTTGTTTAGGTTTAGCTATTCACAATGCATTCTTACTTTTTTTTTATTTTGTTTGATTAGCTATTAATTGTTATACCCTGTAATTACAGGTTGTAAAACGCTACAATAAAATCCCAAGAAAAACTAAGTTGGAAAATAATTAATACATAAATAATAAAAAATTATTATTGTTGCAAGTAATTATTGAGTCGAATTGCTAAATTCTTTAAAATTGATTTGTTATTTGATCCAATTATTAAAAATTAAGTCTGAATGAGTGTACTTGTTCGTTTTATCGTGATTTATGTAATTGTAAATAGATCATAAGTGTTACAGTTTATAATTGTTAATGGATCATAGGTGTACACTTAGTAGTTTTCAATATTTGGCATCTACCGTTAGCGATAGATGCGTGTTTACTTTTATAAAACTTATGTGCCAACTGTCGGAAATATCAATAACTGTTTTATTATTGAAATTATTATAGTTGGTCTATCTTAGTAGTTGATTTCAATATAATCAAATCAGGTCAAATTATATTCACACTACATTGATTCTTTTAATTTTATAAATTTCCAAAATATTAATCTTAAAATTTTTCATTTGAATTAAAAAGCTAAGCTAAACTGAATATTAAAATTAACGCCCCCATAATTTGGTTATTAAAAAAATTACAAATTTAAATATTTCATTTATATTTTACTAAAACATGAAAGTTTAACATTAAAATCGAAAGTATAAACATGTAATATCATGTAGATTCAAGCATTCATTCTTATAGTCTTATTTTCACTCTTAAATTTTGCATGTTTAATTACTCGCATATTAGCCATTAGCCATTAAGATATTTATTAGCAAAAATTACATACAAAGTAATAATTTCACTTTCAATTTCTTAGTAGAAATGTAAAAATAAAAATTTAATAATTAAAAAAAATGTTAATAAAATTTCAATTTTTTTTTCAGGCTTGTGGAACTGGTTTAGTATTTGGTGGATTTCAATTATTCTCAGATACACATAGAATACTATTATCACGATTATTGGCATCAGCAAGTGAACGTTTAAATGAATTACCACATCCATTATTTTTCTATATAGCATTAGCATTGGCTGGTTCTGGTGTTATAGCTATTATTGCATCAATTCTTGGATTTTGGGCATCATGTTTAAATACATACTGTTTTCTTACATTATATTTTCTAACTGTTATTATACTTTTATTAATACAAGCAGCTGCATGTATTGCAATAACAATATGGCCACATTGTCTTGGTTTAAATTTAGATGAAATTAAAATGGTTAAAGCATTGGGTAATTTTTATGGTGTACCTGGTAAAGAACAATTTACAATTGCAATGGATTTAGCACAAACAAAATTTAATTGTTGCGGTATGAATAGTGATTCAAATTATGAGACATCATTATGGCGTCTTCAAGGATATGGACAAAGAGATTGGCCAGTACCATTAACATGTTGTGTATTACAAAATAAATATGAACGTACATCATATTTAGATCCGAAACCAATTAATATTAGTCAATGTGAATCATTATTAAAATCAGATTTTGAAAGAACACGACATAAAGAATCATGTATTGGACATTTAGATCAATGGTATCGTGAACAATATGTTTTATTTCTTGGTACATGTTTAATAATTGCAATAGTAGAATTTTGTGTTCTTCTCAGTATTGTCTTAAATTGTACATATTTGGCTAGAAAAGCAAAATTAAATGAATTATTTGAATTACATTATCCAACAGCAAAACAACAGATGAGAAATTTAAGACCAAGACCAGGACAACCTCCACATTTTAATTCAATGATTGTAGAAAATATTTATGAGCCGAGTATTGGAATTGCAGCAACAGCAATAAATACTTCTGGTAATCATGGTGCTATTATGGGTGGATTACCACCACCTCCTCCACCAAGTGTTATAAGCGATGTTAAAGAAATTTATATTCAACCACAAGAATTAATAAAAAGTAAACATAATACAACATTTAAGCCAGCACGAAGTCAGTATCATATTTCAAGAAGTTATTTAGTATAAAATTTAATTTTTAAGTATAAAATAATTATAATTATTCAACTCTATAACTATAAGACTTTTTCAAATAGTATTTATATTTTCTAAGAGCCAAAAAATAAATTAAATATTAATATTAAAATATTCTTATAGAAATTTCTTTATACCTCCATTTAAAATAACTGTTAGTTGCAAATTAAAAAAATTTTATAAATTTTTTGAACTTCTAGTGACATCTATTAAGCAGTTTCAGAACAAATATACTAATAGTTTTACAATATACAAATAGTTTTACACAAATATAAAACTTTTAGCATTGCGTAAAACCTAAAATTGTCTACGCTAAGTAAAATGATTATTATAATTCAACATGAAAAACGATACATTTTCGTTTATGTGTTGTTTTTGATATTACGATAAAAAATTATATCAAAATGGTTAAAGCATTGGATAATTTACGATAAAAAATTAAATTAAACTTAAATAATGTATATACACATTATATATTATTGTTATCGTAAAAAACTTTAATTTAAACCAATAACCATTGCTCCTCTAGTGGTTATTGTTCAAACGTAGAAAATTCAAATGGTGCACAACAAAGAAAAAATTTAATACAGAAACGAATCAAATATATTTACTGATTCGTCCTCCATTTTTAAAAATTTACGATATTACGATAATATGTTTGCTTTCATAATTTTTTGATAGTTTTTAAGTAGGTTCTTGTCTATTCCAGAAAACAAAAATATTTTAGACTTTTTTGTGTTTTTAGAAGAAAATGGCAAAATGTTAAACTAATTATTAATCAATTTGGTACCTTAACTTTTATTTTATAGATGTCTCTGTAACTTATAGAATAAGTGAATCAAGTAGTTCGATTTGTAATATTATAATGTATTGTTCTTACTGTTTTGCGGGTATGTTTGTAAAACGTTTCAAACAACAGGTGATAATGGCTCTGCATAAACATTATATGACATAATCTACTACATATATATTATACATACGATATGCATAATATACCCCTCTATTATGAACATCGGTATCGGCCGATATATTATCGGCAGTTCTAATCGGTTTTAGGTTTCTTCTGTATTATGAACCGATACCGATAAAAATATTTCAACCGATTAAAAGAAGCTTTTTCATACAAATTTTTGTTTTTGTAAATTGGAGAAAAAGTTTTTTTTTCTAATGACATTTGTTTTCTTTCAAATGTTATTTTCAAAAAATTTTTAAAACTATTTTGAATTTGGTTTTGATGTGCTAAAAAGTTGTTGTAAGAAAATTATTTTCTGTTAAATTTGTAAAATAAAAGTATACATATATCGGGAAAATGTCACGTGCATTATATTTTGAAAGTGAAGAAACGCAAGCTATTCAAAGACGACATATAAGAGATTCAACTAATCCATTGGATTTAGACAACAAAATGTATGTTTATGTACCTATTTTATTTTATTATTTATATAATATGTACACATTTTTTAGGTTTATTCAGAATTTCAGATTATCATTCCTTGCCAGGTCTAAGTCCTCTTCCATTTTTTCTACTAACCGTGCAATTTGTTTTTTGTTGCTTACGATTTTACAGCTAAATAAAATATATGAATAACATTTTGAAAGGAAATAATTTAGAAAAAATGCTTACATTTTAAAAAAGCAATTATTACACCAGTTTCCTTGATAAAATGAAGATTTTACAAAAAAAAAAATCTGTCGTCTAAAAATTTGTACCCGCTTTTAAATCGGTTAAAACCCGACAATTTATCGTTTTCATAATACCAGCTAATACGTTTTCTATACAGGGAAAAAAAGCTTTCCCGACTCCGATAAAATTTACCGATAAACAATGTTGGTAATACCAACGCAAAATTTTGCCGATAAATTATCGTTTATCGGCCGATACCGATATACATAATAGAGGGGATAGATTTATCAATTAAAATATTTACTTTTAGAAATCCAAAATAAATTTTGTCGTCTTTTGCTGATCGAAAAAGTGTTATGAAGTTTCATAGGGCTCACCGTTTTTATGTAGTGATTTATGTGACTAAAAATATATGTACCGATTTTTTCTTTATTATTTTTTAAAATTCTTTTTTTTCTTTTAATTTGCTTAACCGAAATTATATTTGTCATAATAAAAATTTTTTTTTGCTAAGTTCTAAAATTTTTAATTTTATGCTTTATTTTTCGACGTTTTCTTTTATGTTTTTAGAATTACGGAACCGTAAAAGATTATAAAATTATTTTTTATAATCACAGTTTCTCCTGGCTTTTCTCTTATAATTTAAGTTTTTTTCTTAGCTCTTATATAATTACGTTTTAAATATTTTAGTACAAAATCCTTTTTATTCTGAAAGTCCTTCTTTTTTTTTAGAATTTTCATATAAACGTGCAAATGCATTAAAATTTTTATGTAGAGTATAGTAAATTTCTATTTTCATTTATAATAATTATTATTAGAAGGTCGGGGTAGAGTAAGTTAAATGAAATATCGTTTTCAACTTATATTCGAGTAGATGTCGTCACGGTTTTAATAAGATTGTTATATTTGGTAAGAGTATGTATTGGCGAATTTGGTGAGAGTTGTATATATGTTAATAAATTGTGTATATGTAAAATTTCTCACATTTTACTTTATTACTATTTAAAACAAGAGTAGCCGTGATTTTGAATTTCGGGTAATGCTGTGTTGCTACAATATTACTCTGGTTATAAAACAGAATTACCGTATACCGTATAAAAACAATTTCCAAGTCAAAGTATCTTTTGATTATAGAAGTTTGGACTTTTGGGTAAAACATTGAAAATTGCCATAAAATACAAATATCTTATAATTGACTGGACTAACTAAAATTTTTTCTTTATTTTATTATTTTTTTTTTAATTTATCAAATTTTATTTCAGCTGAGTGTTATAATTTTCTATTTTCTACTGTTGCATTTTGGTTATAACTTGTTGATTAAGCGATTTTCCTTTTTTTTTCTTATTTAACTCTGTGGTTTGCCGTATATATATACACATATTCTTATACATACCCAAATTCAGATATGAAATGAAAAAATGAATATAACGAGAATAGAAAATTATTTTATTAAATGGTCGGTTGCATTTGAATTAATTAATTTCTATTGTAATTTAATTTTAATATACTTTTATTCGTAATACATACATACATACAATAAGCAGACAAAAGGTGTATAGCAGGGCGTGAAACTTAATTCCTCCATAATATCTTAAAAAGAAATGGGAAAAGAAAAATAATAAAAAATTTAATAGGAAAAAAGAGAATGCAATCCTTTTAAACTTTGATTTGTTTTTTAAAGAATTAATTGAAAATTATTTTGATTGACAACCAGAACGATTTTTTTTTCTAATATGTCAAATAAATATTGATGAAGAGATGGGAATTATTTTTAAATTTTAGTAAGTACGTGGAATCACTGGACGTTTTCATTTTTTAAGTTCAGAGGTTGAATTTGATCAGGTTCAAAGTTGTCAGAAAACACACTGATTACATGAAAAAAAATTTGCAATCATGACAGCTTTGATTTTAATAACGGGCAGGACAGACTTTATTCTGTCATTTAATAATTTTTCAAATTTGAATTATCAAAATATTTTATGTATATTAATCCTGAAATTTTTTTTCGGGCATGTATTGAGCATAATCTGAGCGTGCTTTGATCGTTAAAAAAGCAAAACACTATTTTTTGTGCTCTGAGCGTTAAGAGGTAAAAAACGAACGCAAATTTATATTTTGACAGATATGAATTTGCTCTGAGACAAAAATCGAAAACGAACAATGTAACGATAATAAGAGTAAAAATTGTTATAAGTATGGGGGCATTTTTTAACAGTCTGATCGTGTATCTCGCTTTTCTATTCATTTTCAAATCAGAATTCTCAATATTTTCTAATGGTTTGCTTCAATTTTCCAATAAGATTAAACATTTTTTCAATTGGTTTTTTGCATTTTTTCTCAAATTATGTACCGAATGTCTCACATTCAAAAACAAAGTGAATAATTTTTGTATACATTTTAGAAAAAAGCGAGATACGGGATACCAAATAATTCTCCTCACTCATTTTAATAATTCTTCATACATTATACAAGTGTACGATAGTTACCCACTTTCTTCCGGCTTTTCGAGTAAAATAGCGAGATAGACGATCAGGCTACTAAAGCAATTAATATTCAAAGATTTTTATTTTTCCTTTTGTGCTTAAATGTATTCAAGAACCACAATGGTAAAGAGTGAATAAAATGGACAAATTTTAAGAAAAAATGTGAAGATTAATGTAGGTAGAGGAATGAAAATTTCTTATTCTATGCCAGTCTATGGAATATAATTTAAATTATAATTTCAAAAAATAGAAATAGATTTTAAAAAATGTATTTTTAAAATAATATTTTCATCTTTTTGAATGAAATTTATTGAAATTTTTTTAATATAACTTTAACATATAACATAACATTTAACATTTAACATAAATGATATTGAATTTTCATTTCCAAAATTCTCAGGAAATATAACTGAATCAATCAATTTAGATTGTAGAAATAATAGAATAATTAAAATCACTTTAAAATAATTGTTAAATTTGATGTAAAATTTTTAAATATTTGAAATTTTCAAATTAATTAATAAATAAAATTATTTATAAAACCGTTGTTGCATTCTTTAAAATTAAGTAATGATGAATTTGCAAATGTTATGCGTTATCATTTCGCTTTAAGGTAAGTGTAATTCTAAAAATGCAATATTTATATATGCTTAAATTGATTCCTAGCCTGTGTAAATTTATTCTGGATTTTATGATAAAAAAAATTAACAATAACCAAAAATATTTTTTTTATCAAAATATGTAATGCATACTGCACTGAAATTTTATACGCGTAAACGCTAAAAACAATGATCAAATCACGTCACCGCAATAACCATTCTCATATAATATTTTTCATATTTTTTTTTTTTTGTTATATATAAATGAATTGATTTGTGTGTTACAAT